AAGTGAAATGTATACACTGTTTAATTTTCAAATTTTCAATTGAACAAAGCCACGTAATTTTACTGACATAAATAATAGTCATGCGTAATTTTCAGGGATATTTGTCATAGTTAAGTGTGACGTGATATTTCGCGAACATTCAGATTGAATCATTGAATGATACTGTGAGGTCATTGAGATAGTGCATATAACTTAACATGCACAGCATCAATTTCTTCAAAATGTGGTCGAATTTTGTTTCTTTGTTAAAAAAACAGAGCACAAAATTAAGATAATCCACATTTTTTAATAAGGGCAAACCCACTATGTTTCAAATTGTAAAACAATGTCCAAGGCCACTTACTATAAAGCATGTTGATCGGGAATATAACGATATTCAGTATTATAAAGAATTCTATAGTTTCAATATTAAGGCCTCTACTATACTTTCCTGCTTATTGTATTATTACTTTTTTGGCAAGCATGTTTAAATGTTCAATGGCGTTCATGCAAAATTTGGGAAATGTCGATCATAAAAATAGTATATATTTAAATATTGGGAATTTAGGAATTCTATAGCACTCTAACTTAATATTGACAGAAAGATTAGCAAGATAAGAAATTCAATACACAGATTATAAATTCGTTTACAAGCAATATATATAGTAGCAGTCAGTAGCAGATTCGAGTCCTCGTGATCAATCGTTTATAACTTCCTTCAGTTCCTTGAATAACTTGTTCGGAATGCAATTGGCATAGTTTTATTTAGGCTCTGTTAAAAATTATACAAAGTCAAAGACAAAGACAAAGTCCTCAACTTTAATCAGCTATATAACAAGATGGCTTTAATCACCAACGAACAAGGTCAATGGAAATACACTATGAATTGATAAAGAAACAACTTGTTTAATCGAGATAACGAAAATTTTGAGAAACCAGACAGTCTACTGTATGTTTTAAAAGCCTTTAGACGTCAACCTTTCAGCTGTGTTATCAATTCCTATAGTGCTTTTGGCTGTTCATATTTACACTTCTAAATATAGAACGAGAATTGACTAAACTTCATAAAACATGAGTTGTTTTTCGGAAGTAGTCAATGAGTAGATCCTTAACCTTAGGCTTAGCCTATATATACATTTGAAACAGAATGACCCTAACCCATATCGTTTTCAAATTTCAAAAGAACATTGAGCTTAATTTCGATGACAAGTTTTGTCGAAATGACATAACGAGTTTACAAGCTGCCTGGAGCAATTTGAAATAAAGCAGACAAAATAACGTGAAAACATAACAAACATTTGCCTTTAGCTGTTAGACTGTTAGCTTTTATTGTTTTAGCCAAGAAATTACAAAAATTGCAAGTACAACGTCAACAACCATTCATTGATATTCTTTAGACTTTACTCTTTAGCCAAGTTTAGGCCTCATACAATGTTGTTACCCATGTTCACCCTCCCAACTCTAAGTTTTGTATCCATTTGTACATGTATATTATCCATTGTCTTACGGTTACAGACCTCGAGGCTATATGAATTAATGTTAATTGTTCGATAAAAATAAAGTGGCCGCCATTGTGGTGCCAAAACACATTATTTGGACTTCATTGTGTTACGTGTTTAAGTTTTATCGCGTGAGCCATGATGGTAATTATTAGTACGCGTTTAAACTTGCCTCCACAGGCAACTGCCAACTGTGTATAAATTCGTCGTTCGGGAAGTGAAATCTCAACGTTTTTCTCCAAGACTATTAAGTTCATCGTTTCAGAAGCCACAGGCACAGAATTGCTTGTGTTGGAGGCTATACTATAGTTATAAGCTGAAGAAGTGTAGTTGTGAGCATTTCTCGGTCACTTTAAGTATAAAAAGGGCGGAAATATCATTCTCAAAACCTAAGTAGCTTGCAGTTGTTTTTTTTTGTTTAATTAAAATGTTTTTCTTCGTCAATTCATTGTGCACTATGATGTTAGTGGATTCACAACAGGGGTCAATTTTGGAATAAATGGACATAGTTCATGCTCATGCATCATAGGTTAGACTCTAACAGTGACAGAATACAAGAGAGACGTCAAATGACTCGCCGATGAATCGTGCACAAACATCATCAGAATTTAGGGTGTGCCACAATTTACACATAACGATCGGAAAGCTCTTTATACTTTACTCTAATTCTCTAATGATTAGACGAAATTAATTAGACATTTAACTCTTTCAAAGCCTCCTTGAAATGCACGTATATAGTTAGCCCCAAAGCACGTACACACGCAAAATCACACATCTTATAGCAAGTCTGCCAACAAACCGTCAACAAGTTGTGTTCGCACTGCTTGTCCCAAGTTGTCAACAAGTTTGGAACGAGCTGTTAACAGTTGTAACAACCATGTTGATATTATCAGACTTGTTGCAAGGTTGTTCCAACAAATCCGACACAGTCATGATATAACAATATTCTTACAACCTTGTGTCGTCAACCTTGTAACATTCTTGTTATATCATGACTGTATCAGACTTGTTAGAACAACCTTGTAACAAGTCTGATAATGCCATCAAGCTTGTTACAACTTGTTAACAGCTTGTTCCAAACTTGTTACAACAACTGGGAACAAGCAGTGCGAACACAACTTGTCAGCTGATTTGCAGACTTGTAACAACTTGTGCGTTTTTACCGGTGTATTTGATTAACAGAATAAGCCTATATAACCCTAACCTAACTGTGTAATTGAAAAGAAGTCTTCATATATTGCTTTTCAAATAGAAATTACTGAAACAAGTCTATTAGAATCAGTTTCCAATTCAATCGTTTGAGATGTACTTCAATCGTTTAAGATTCATTTCAATTGTTAATCAGTTCGATAGCAGCTCAGCTTTAATTTATAACATGTATTTTTTCTATTTTCATAGATTCGCCAGCCGTTCATACTGTCAAAGATCAAGAATGGGTAAGCAAGAGAATATTCTCGATATATTTAATAATCTAAATATGGGTTTGTTATCAAATTAATGATGCGATGCTACATAAAGACTAAAGAGTCACAACTCGACGGGAGGCCAGCCATTATTCTAGATCATTATAGATTATAGTAGCTAAATGAAAACATTTAAGATACGGAAACAATGGACCATTTGCATTATAGACTAAATTTTGATCTAGACAAAAATTTCATCACAGCTTGAAAGAGCATCACAAAATTAGTAATATTCCAAAGTTTCGTTGCGAAATGTTGTAAAATGCGGATAATATAGCTTTGTGAAGTTTGCCGTTTTTCAGTCATTTTGTATTACACACGTGAAATCGACAGCCCAATCGGGTGTTGGGGCATCAATTTCCCGTTTGTAATACAAAATGACTGAAAATTGCAAATTTCGCAAGGCTATATTATCCGCATTTTACAACATTTCGCAACGAAACTTTGGAATATTACTAATTTTGTTATGCTCTTTCAAGCTGTGATGAAATTTTTGTCTAGATCAAAATTTAGTCAAAAATGCAAATGGTCCATTAAGCCCAGCTGCTCACGTTTGATGCAATAACGAGAGTAATACACCCTTCCAGAAAGTAAGTCACTTTGGCTATAGAGCTTCGTTTTCATGTATCTGACATCAGTTAAAAGCCACGTCTCAATTACGAAAACGAGGCTCTATAGCCAAAGTGACGTACTTTGTTGACAGTTGATTTCTTCATCAATAGAGACGTCATCTTGAATTCGCAATGCATTGTGGTGTATCCATATGGATTGTGAATCAACTGCAGAATGCAGACGAATCATAGGGCGCTTTCCATTTTATGGCCTGACTGGTCAGACCCGAATTTTTGTCTTTGTATCAATGGAAAGATCTGGTCTATGTTTCTCAAATATCTAGCGAAAATGGACCTCATTCAAATGTTATCTGAATTTTCCGGTCAGATAGATCCGAATCCCAAACATTTTGTGTTCAATTCAACAGTTTGACCATTCTGACCGGTCTGGCCGTGTTAATGGAAAACGCCCATATAGAAAACTGTAAAAAAAACTTGAGGGAAAGACAAGGGAAATCACTATCATGTCGATGGTTTTATATGTGATAAAAATCACATGAATTTACATAAACTTTAGGTTTGAATTTTCTCGGCTTAGACAACGTTGATTTGTAAAATTACTTCCCCAATAAACTCATAAGATAGGTTGTTTCTTTAATCCATTTAAAACACTGGCAGTCCTTATCAGATAGAAGACACTAGGCTATCGCCTTGTGTTTGTATCCGATAAAGCACTCTTGCTCGTATTTTAAATAGTAATTAATATTCAAAATCTACTGTTATATTGTTATTTTGGTTCAACTAGGAACTGACTTCGAATATTTTTCAATTTTCAGCTCATTCAAGATTTGAAGAAAGAAAACTTCGATTTGAAATTGAGGTTATTTATGGAGCAGAAGGAACGCGAGGTAGGGCCTGGGGCTAGGAATTGATTTAAACTGCTATCAATATAAATGCCTTTATTAGATGGCGGTCAGCTTTTATTGGATAGCGGTCAGCTTTTATTGGGTGTCGGTCTGCTTTTATTGGGTGTCGGTCTGCTCGAGATCTGACTTATGTTCGCAATTAGATTCAGTCAAGAAAAATATAAAATATAGACGCTACAATATCTGCTATTTTTGGGGTACTGTCGGCTTCCTTCGTCAACAAATTTTGACAATTAAAACGATATAAAAAGTGACTTTTCAAAGTCGTAACTTTAAATTTTGGCGAGCTCACCATAGCAACAGGTCATGCTATGCCAATTTTTAATGATTTGCACTATTCAAACCTCAAACCTTTAGAAATGTATTGTTGACAACTTGCTACAAGGTTGTTGAGCTCCACAGACGTGTTACAAGTTGTCCCAACACCTTGTTATCGTCCTGCAATCCACCAATTTGTGAGTGACAACCTTGTAGCAACTTGATAAAATAACAGCATTGTTACAACTTGTTGATAAGCTTGTTACAAGCCTATTGCAAGCGCATCTTGTTGACAAGTTGTGAGATTTTTACGTGTGAATAAACCCTGATAGAAGCAAAAGAGACATGGGCTACCTAACATGCAATGCCTTTCTTCTTCCAATCTTAGAAATTACTCAATGGCAACAGTAGACAGACAGATGATTTAGAAACAGACCTCACAGAAGCTTTAGACGAGTTGGAACATGCGATGGACAAGGAGAATCAGCTCGTTCACGAACTTAATGCCGCAAGGCGACGGGAGAAAAGCTTAGCTACGAAACTAAAACGTCTTGAACGCGTCTGCCAACACCAAGAGGAAGATATCATACGAATGAGCGTCGAGCTGGAAAATTTAAAAATGGAGATAGCCGCAAAGGACAGTGGGATCGCTAGTCCCAATGCTCCACGCACGCGGACCCTTCAAAGTCGCTCTGGAAGAATGAGCCCAACTTCTGATTTCACTGATCGATTCTCGGACCGGTTATCGGCCGGGTATCCGGACCGCTGGGACCGTTATTCCGATCGGAATTCGGACCGAGGTTCGGATAGCGGATCGTACGTCACGACACCTCACGAACGTAAGACGTTCTTTGGCGATCGTTTCCCCGACGATATGTCGACGAGCGACGAGTCGGAAACGAAACATCGTACGATCTCGACCACGACGTCCGACGTCGAGCGAAATAAAAGACGGGAAAAATTATTGTCGCGGAGAGTACGACAGTACCAAGACGTCGCAGAGAACGGGACAGATAACGACGTTGTGGACGGGCAGGTACATCCTGGGGATCGCGTTGGCGATGCTAAGTATTCCCCTAGACTCGAACCGCTCAAAGACGATTCTGGTCACCAGGAACGCGCGATCGACGTCGCCCCTGACATACTCAAGAGCACTCCAGAAACGCAATCCGGTCAGAAAAAAGGAACATTCCCTCGGCCGCGCTGGTTCCAGAAAAAGTCGAAAGGAAATAAACAAACTAGTAAAAGTATGGACGATCTCAATTCTGTCGGACGGATTGATGTTAAAAATATACACAAAAAGAACAAAAAATATAACTTCTGGGGCTGTGTGCGTGCTAGAGAGTCGGTCAACGAGAACATTAGGTCCGAATATGCGCCTGTCAAGAGACCGCAGGTCAAGAACACAGAAGGCACAGTTAAGACGATGGAGGAAAACAGTACTGTAGCCGCCAATGGTTCTGGTGACGCCGCTCCAGTTGAATATATTTAGGTCAGGGTAAGGTGCTGAATACTTAGTGTTAGGCCTAGTCTAGGTTATAGTGAGCTCCGTATACTTGGTGGTACTGGGCATGCTTGGAAACGTTGCAGGAATGTACAACCACAGAGTAAATACCATACAGAGGTCTCACCTCTTATTGATTTCGGCGAAAGGGATTTTTCCAGTAAGTCATGTTCTTACCAAATGCCCTAAAGAGAGGCCGTCACCCCCTGAAAACGTATTGAAATTTAATGTTCCAGGGGGTGAATGCATCTCTTTAGGGCACTTGCTAAGAACATGGCCAGCAACGTTGTAAACATTACAACGTTAGTCAAATTTGTCCATCTGCTGAAACCCAACTTGAATGCAGATTTTGAAAATTAGTTGGTAGAAATAGAATTTTAGGAAAATCAAATTACGATTCCAGTCGGATTGTTCACTCTGACTGTGTACATATAATTATTTCACACGTGATGCTTCGCCCCTGCACATGATACTATTAACAAGCTATATATAAAATATTTACAATCTCACTTTAAGAATCTGACAAATTTTCGAAGAATTATTTATGGATGTGCCATGAACACATTAACGGGGGGAGGGAACTAATTTGTAGAGATTCATAAAATATAATTATTATATAAAATTTTCTCTGGAGTCCTGTATGTTGCAAAGTTTTTTATCGTGTTTCTGTTGAATCGAGTTTTGATGGCTGTTCTGTTAAATTGAGAGATTCCATGTTGTTTGGAAATAAATGCGTTTGTCGTTCGTGTGGTTCTAGTGGTTCAATAGGGCGACGATATGTACTCGATTTTGTCTTGAAAACCAACCTGGAATTAGAGTAAGAAACGAAGTGTTTATTTAGAAACGTTTACCAGCTAAAGAACGAATTATAATCTCGTTTGAGCGGGCCGTACAGTTGAGAAAATAGGCAAAATCTCGCTTATATTAGTCACGCATTGTTACAGGAGATATTTCAAGGTCTAGATTAACAAAATAAAGGATTGATAAGTATTTCAACTATGTTTCAACTTAAAAAGAATACATGGGAAAGCATATAAGAACAGCTAACCAATGTCGCGTGACTACCGACTCTCATAATTTTCGTCCTAGCTCGTTTGGTCTGGGCTTTGAGCAGGTTCAAATTTTGATGAGAATTTCTGCTACGTGCGCGGTAATATCCAGTCAACACTCATCAACTCTCATGCAACTCTTGTTCTCGTTTGACCGGGGCACGTGAGTTGAGAAAACTCTCATGCAAACTCTCACTTGTCAACTCTCGTTCTCGTTTGACTAGGGCTTAAGATATACGCATTTCTTACCTGAAATCTTGTTCTTTCTCTTTCTTCCCTTCTTTACCATCAACTCCCACAGGAATTCTATTTCCTTCCATCAACCAACTTCTCTCATCCTGAGGCCCAGGCCTATACCCACCATGTTTCATCTCCTCTTCCACCTTGCCCCTCCTCCCCGCCCCACCAAGTGTACCCAGAGGTGGGACTTTGTCCAATCCCAAATCACCCTCCTTCAATGAAAATTTCTGTGGAGGGTCTTTTAGAATATCATCGAGTTTGGTAAGCGCGCTTGCAGATTTGTCCCCCTTGTCCGTTAATTCCGTCCTCGGAAGGCATCGGTGAGTTCGGAAACGCACGTCGTCCACGACAACCCGCGATTCCCACTCGCGCATGTCCTTCTCCGCTGCATCGCGTTTCTCCTGCTCGCGGACGTCGCCGTAAAGGTGAATTGAGCCCAGGTATCTTGGTTCAGCAGGCGGCTTGATGGTGTCCATATCCTTGTCGCGATGTTTCCAAGGAAATACGATTCTTTATTGATAAAAAAGTAAATTATATATGTGAGGGAAGGGTCGAATATATAAGTTCCTGCTAAAGAAATGATAAAAATACAAATAAAATTCCATAATAAAACTGAAAATACACACCGATCAACCGTAGGCTTCAAAATGTTCGCATGAAGTACGTTCTCTCGCCAGGGCTGCAAAAAAAGCTTGTCGTTAATTAAACCATGTTATTTTGCAGGGAAGACATATAGTAAAACCATCATTAATGCGTACAATGGGTTAGCAACTTATAACAAGCTTGATGGCGTTATCAGACTTGTTATAAAGTTGTTCTCACAAGTCTGATACAGTCATGACATAACAAGAATGTTACAAGGTTGACGACGCGAGGTTGCAACAATATTGTTACAACATGACTGCATCGAACTTGTTGGAACAACCTTGCAACAAGTCTGATAATATCAACAAGCTTGTTACAACTGTTAACAAATTGTTCCAAACTTGTTGACAAGTTGTGACAAGCAGTGCGAACACAACTTGTTGGCGGTTTGTTGGCAGACTTGCTACAAGGTGTCCGATTTTGCGTACGTACTCTAGATATGCGCTAATTTTATACCTTGTTCAATTCCATAACGCGAGCGTTGTCAGGCTTTAATGGATGCTGATTTGACTCCAAAGCAGTTTTTGAACTGGAAACAATAAATCCTTTCTCAGTCAGCCATCTTTGTTTCTCCTCGTCTCTGTTTATCTGACTGGCTGCACTTTCCTCTGACGTTTCTATACTGGCTGAGTTATAGTCCGAACAATAGGTATACACGCCTCCAGGATCCTGATAATATTCAGAAATTATGTTCATGCTTAGCACACTGTATGTTTTACAAGGTTTTATACACTTTGTTACTTGAAATATCAATTCTGCTCTCCTTCCTGCACTCTATAAGCTTTCAAACAAAGTTATTTTTCCTCAACCTCATGGTCTACTTTATGGTCTGTTACTTTCGAAGATAACGTACTATTTCGTAGAACTGATTTAGTTGGGGGAATAAATTAAAAAAATTGTGATTTTCGTACCGGTCTCATGTAAACATGTTGACAATTTCAATTTTCATTCCGCTTTGACTTTGTCCCGGTCTCCACCGTCCCGGTCTATCTGTCTGTTTGTTTGACTGTCTGTTTGTTTGCCTGTCTATTTGCCGAACTCCCTTTTCAAATGGCAGAACTCCCTTTTCAAATGCCAAAACTCCTTTTTCAAATGCCAAAACGCCTTTTTCAAATGCCAAAACTCCTTTTTCAAATGCCAAGACTCCTTTTTCAAATGCCAAAACTCCTTTTTCAAATGCCAAAACTCCCTTTTCAAATGCCAAAACTCCCTTCTCAAATGCCAAAACTCCCTTTTCAAATGCCAAAACTTCATTTTCAAATGCCAAAACTCCCTTTTCAAATGCCAAAACTCCCTTTTCAAATGCCAAAACTCTGTTATCTGAAAACCTTGGTTTAACCCAACTTACCTTACTAAGAACTTTCTTCAATTTTCGTTTTGACAATTCAGTTGAATTCAAGGACTGCGTACTATAGTTGTGGGCAATGCAGTTGTCAAGTTCTGCCTTACTAACAGCGATACTGTCGGGTTTTTCACGTGGGTCTTTCGTCTGAGTTCTGAGCTGTAACAATAAAGATAATACAAATATAATGAAACAAAGGACTTCGTATAGAGTACACACTAAATTACTGTAGATTACGTTTGATTTCATTTGGCTAAACAAATTGTCAAAAAAATGCAATAGCTGTGTTGTAGATTTTTCAGACATGCAAGGGCATCGGAAATTCAATCTAAAAGCCGAATCTTGACGCTAAACTTATAAAAATTTGTTTGGTAGAACTCTAATGTCATGTTTAAAGTAAGGGCCTCATCAAACTTATTAAGGTGGCTCGATATAGTTATCACAAAAACCCTGCTCAAGAATCGCGAACAAAACTGGGCGACCATTTTTACGCGCAGGTCGTGCAAACTGATTAACAAAATGAAAGAACTTCCAAAATGACCTGACGTGAGCAGTTGCTCGCGCCATCTCACGTCATTGCGCGTGTTGTATAGCGTTTTGTGTCGATTGCTGACGTCATTAGAATTTTCCATTTTAGAAAAACAATGCGCTATATCTCTTTATTTTGCCTGGTGACCTATGTTCAAATTTTGCATGCTGTATTGCACCGCTAAAAACTTTCATTATACAAAAAATAAAAAAATTCTGTAATGCCAAAAAAATTTTAACGAAGAATATGACATTTTCGCATTTTCCAAAAAAATGGCATTACAGAATTTTTTTATATTTTGCTAATTGTTAGCTTTTCGTCCAAGTAAAACAATGCAAGAAAAAAAATTGGGGGTCACCATGCTTTTTTTCCAACTATACGAAACGATAGGCCATTTTGGAGTGAATTTCGTACACGTATGTCGTCATAGCAACGAGCTATCTGTTACTAAAACTAATATAATTTGAAAGTAGAGTTATCAAAATATATAAAAAACACCAATATCTTTTGAATAAATCCTAAAAATGCGTAGTTTGAACATGTCAAACTGTTAAACACCTGAATTTTTGAAAACTGTATCGAGCCACCTTAATACTTAATACAACTGATGATTATTCCAGTGGTCCATGAGGCATTTAATGTGAACCAGACTTTATTTTGAAAAGCCATAACATTGTTTCTAGCCTACTACTACTAGACAAATTAATTACTGTCAAAATTCATGCCTACTAATATCTATAGTTAGCTGTTCAAAACACATTTGGACACCCTGTATACCTGACCAGGAATGCAGAGAAAGGTTCAGCTTGAGCTGGGGGTGCTGAGCTATTGATATTGATGATATTTTGATCAAGCAGTATTACTGTACTTACGATATTTTCCATGATAAAATCACGGTTAGTAGTCTCTCGACTTTTCAAAGTCTCAAGATATTCAGGATTTTTTAACTGCAATGGTGTCCAATTTCGACGTTTAGTACTATCACCAGGATCTTGCGAGTTCTCACCACTCATGTCCTCCATGCGACCGAAATCCTCCCCCAAACCTGCCTCTGTGGTATAAAAGATAAAAAATATGGTATAAAAGATAAAAAATAAGCCATTTATACCATACCATACAAAACTACACCATAACATACCATGCAATACCATACCGTACCATACCGTACCATACCATATACCATATACCATACCATGCAATACCATACCATACCACACTACACCATACCACACCTCAACTCACCTCCAAAGTCTTCGGCAGTCAATGGTATGCCAAACTCGCGACTCACGGACAAAATCATTTCTGGCGTAGGGAACAGATCATTTTTTACAACCTCGCGTAATTTTGACGCACTAAGAATCTAAGTATAGATATTATATTGTTACTGCAACGATCGTTAGAACTGATAGAGTTATCCAGTATAAATAAAGCTAGATTAGATTAGATTAGATTTCCTCCTGTAGTAACACTGGATCAATAAGAGATGACTCTTATTGGAACTCTAGGAAGAATAGTTTAGCCAACTGAAAGCGCTGTCCAGTATAAATAAAGTTAGTTTAGCTTATGTTTCCTCCTATAGTAACACTGGATTAATAAGAGATGACTCTTACTAGACCTCCAGGAAGAACAGTTTAGAACTGACAGAGCTGTCCAGTATAAATGCAGTTAGTTTAGCTTAGGTTCCCTCCTATAGCTGTAGTAAGATATAAGGTACAGGATGAATCTTACAGCCCTAGAGATTGAATAGATGATTTAATTATTGAAATGTCAGAAGCATAAACCATACTAAACCCATTAATTAACCTTATCCAGTCTTGTGAGGCCTTCAAAGCACGCTCGTGGTACGATGTCCCGTACGTACAGCAACGGTTTTCGAGTGATGTTGGTCAGAGAATCGTGTAAGCGAACTCGACACAGATCTACGTCCAGTGACACGTAAAGTCTGTCGGAGAAAGTCATGTCAGATTTATATAGAGCTTTAACTGATCCAGGATCTAAATGAGAATAATTTCAATATATTATATAGAAAATTTAAAGTGACTAGTACGGTACTTTCTGGGACTCTGTTGAGCTCAACAGCTTTGTAGCAAGCTGTCAACAAGCCGTTTACAACTTGTCAACAAGCAGTGCGAACATATCCTGTTGGAACAGCCACAGTTAATAAAACAGCATTGCTACAAGTCTGCTGCAGGTTTGTTAAAACGTGCGTGTTTTCTAAACTATATAGACCCAGTCACAACCAGTCATAAGGTTCAAAACTTTATTTGAGCCAGCAGTCACAAATAAACGTTGGGTCGTTACCGTTGTTTTCTTGGTCTAAAGGCAAACTCTCTATTAATCGTTTGATTGCTTCATCTCTTAGGCCCTCGAGAACAAAGATATGCCGAACACCATCGATGACTTGAAATCCAGTGAGTATGTTGAGAGTTTTCGAGTCTTTTTGCTCTCTACCAAATAAAATGAGAAGTTAAATAGACCTTTTAAGGCTTAAAAGCCTGGTTTACACTATCAAAGTTTCTGTGATCGCAGTAGGAATGCTGCATAGACTTTTCTTCCTTATCTTTTCTTCCTTATCCCTTCCTAAATTTCAAGCTAAATCCACAATCCGAGCCAAAATATTAGATAAATCCGCAATCCGCTGTATTAATAAGATCCGCAAATCCGTGTAAAATATTCGCCAGATCTGAAATCCGACGATCCGAAAACCTATTCACCTTATCTTATCTATTTGATATTAAAATAAGGGAAAATCCAGAACATAATTTATATTAGTTGCTTCCTGCTGAGAAGCAGCGACTATTACGGGAACAAGAACACGACTTCATCTCGCCAAAAATAAAGACGGAAAGATTCAAACGATTGTTTTTAAATAGATGTCTTTTTGACTATTTTAACTAGTAAAGTTAACAAACTTTTTAGAAATTTTTTCTAATTTTTCAACTTCATATAAAGACTAGTTTAATAAATAGTTAGAGAATCTTTAACTTCATAAAACGAGTTCCTCTAACTAGTATCGTAATAAGTAGTAATATCTTGTCATCGTTTGTAAAGTTATACACGTCTGATACTTCAAAATTTTATCCATGCAAAATTCCTACTGTGATCAGATCTGATCAACCCTCGTCAACTTTCATCGCCGTTTGACCGAGATCTAAGGCTGTTACTGTGAAATAAAAAAACAAACTTACTCCGATAATTTATAAGTGGACAAAGCAGCATCGATAATGTGTTCGGGAAGATTCATCAACTCTAGTGCCGTTGCATTGATCTCCGTAATCTCAGTCTGAAGTTCTTTCAAGAATGTCGTGTTTGAATAATCAAATATGTAGATCACTCGGGCGAAAGGACACTAAATAGTGATAGAGAAAAAATATTTCACTTGGGAGGGGCTTTGGTGGCGCGGACGTCAAAGCAAGTGCGTTTCATCTCTGAGATTGTGGGTTTAATTCTCGCTGCGAACTCATGTGACACTTATGTGAAAAGAGTCATCGCTCTACCGAAAGTCGTGGGTTTTCTCCGGGTACTTCGGTTTCCCCCCACAGGGAATGTCGACAGGGTAGGTTGGGATTAGCCCCTAAGTTGGGATTAGCCCCTAACTGACTCTTCCACCGTAGCTGTGCTCCCTGATCAGACATGAGTGATAAGGTGGCAGCCAGAGGAGCCCTCGATCAGGTTGGAATCAGGTTGGGATGAGTCCTTCGCAATGGACCTTTAACCTTACAACTAAAATTTTGATCTAGACAAGTCCAGACAAAAATTTCATCACAGCTTGAAAGAGCATCACACAATTAGTAATATTCCGAAGTTTCGTTGCGAAATGTTGTAAAATGCGGATAATATAGCCTTGCGAAGTTTGCAATTTTCAGTCATTTTAGATTACAAACGGGAAATTGATACCCAAACACCCGATTTCGTAACGAAACTTTGGAATATTACTAATTTGATCAAAATTTAGTTATAAGGTTAAAGGTCCATTCAGCTTAGCTCTCAGCTGCAAGTATGGATGATTAGCACATCTCCACTTACTTAGTTATTTATTTGACTAATTCGCGGCCAAGGGAAAATACTTTCCATTTTGCTTACACCAAGAAACGGTTGTTCAAAGTTAGATAGACTTAAAAACATTAGAGGTTAGCGCGCTGTTACTTGCCGCTAAGTTACGCCTACATTCTATTGTAGGTGTAGGTGTAGTTCGAGGGTGAGGTGGTGGGGGATTTACTTAGGTTGGGTGAGTTTGATTGCTCTCTCTGTGCTCCCAGGAATTTTTCTCCAAAAACTAACCATCCCACCTCGGCAAGCACCTAGCAGGTTACCTCATCTGGTATTTCGACTTGATCAGGATCCGTTATTCTTCGTCGTACTTCGGTCGCAGTCGTCAGTGGGTAACCAACTTCTATCTTCAATTTTAACTCACTGCACGCTTCAATATAGTTGGCTGAAGGCAACGGTTCTTCTTCTGTTGATGAGAAAAAAGTCTGAATGATTCTGAGCAAACGTAAGTCTATGAAATCTACTTTATTCTCCCCAGAGGTCTATTATTAGTCGAATGTTACTACAGGAGGAAAACGAAACTAAACTATCATCTCTAGGACAAGTAAGGGTCATTCATATCACCAGTACCTATATTCGTTAATATAACGGGCTTCGATAGCACGATCATCAAAGCAAGCGACTTTCATCTCTGAGATCGTGGGTCCGAGCTTGCTGCGGGCACATGACACTCACGTGAAAAGGAGTAATTCAATACTCCACCGAAAGTCGTCAGTTTCCTCAGGTACTCCGGTTCCCTCCCTGCTCCCACAGGGAATATTGACAGGATGGCTTGGGTATAGCTCCTAACTGATCCTCCCATGCTAGCTGTGCTCCGTGATCAGACATGAGTCATAATGTGGCTGCCAGAGGCGCCCTTAGAAAGCATTCGACTCGATCAGGTTGAGCTCCGTCCTTTGCAATTCAACTTAGCTCTCAGCTGCAAGTAAGGATGATTAGCACACCTCTAGCCTACAAAGCAGGCGGACGCCTAGGCTAGGGCAACCGTAGCACATCTCCACTTACTTGTCTAAGTTAATAAAGCAATGATGATGTGTATACATCATTCAAGCGTATAGTTGACCTATTTCACTTTGGCGTACCTGGTCCATCAACACTGCCTGCGTGCCCGACAATAGAACCACCCGGTCGATCGTGCCCGACATTTGGATCCGGGCTTGAACAGTTATGAACTGGAATGCACATGTACATATACCGCTGACCCAAAAGTAGTTCAGAGAGATCTAGCTTTGCCACGCCATAGGGATCCCAAGCTTTGTCTTTATCTTTGAAAGGATTATGTGTAGTGCGACGACCTATGGTTATGAAATACAATTTTATTGATCTATTACAAAAGCAAGTATCGGCCTAATGAATTAATCTGGGCGGTAAAAGGAGTAGGGGATTAAAGATTTAACGATTAAAGGATTTAAGATCGCGGATTTAAGGTGTAAACGCAGCAGCACATACCTGCAATCAAACTAACATTATTGATCATCTCATCCTCAGGATTATCCCCGAATAGATCAGCTTTGACTTTTTTCAATTCATTATCCCTATCTCTATCATGTATCTCTATGTGTAGCGGTGGACCCTGCAAGTACTCCTGAAGTTCCCCTTGATCCAGTATGCCCAGCAGTACCACGTTCACGTCGTCCCAGTATACATTGCGGTCGTGCGGGTAGCTCAGGGTACGGTGCATGGGCTGTTTGAAGAATTTATACTGCGCAAAAACTGGAACACAGCTGAAACGAAATTAAGATCGATTAAGACCACACAAACTTTCTCTTACCTCACTGGACATCTAAAGAGAACAGCTTAAAACTGATAGAACTAACCATAACTATGAAGTTATATGTAGCTTAGTTTAGATTTCTCCCTGTAGTAACACTGTACCAATCTATATAGGAAGGACCCTTACTGGTCTTCTAAAGAGAACAGCTTACAACTAACAAAACTGATCAGAATAATGTCACATGTAGGTTAGTTTAGTTTAGAATTCTTCCAGTAGTAACACTGTACCAATAAGGAAAGGTCCTTACTGGTCTTCTAAAGAAAACAGCTTAGAACTGATAGAGCTAACCGCAACTATAAAGTTATATGTAGCTTAGTTTAGATTTCTTCCTGTAGTAACACTGTTACTGTACCAATAAGGGAGGGTCCTTACTGGACTTGGAGAAGAACTTAGAACTGGTAGAGCCAACCAGAATAATGTTACATGCAGCTTAGTTTACATTTCCTCCTGTAGTAACACTGTACCAATAAGGAAGGGTCCATACTGGACTTCTAAAGAGAACAGGTATTCAGTGTCAATTTGTCTTTAGTAACGAACAAGCCTTACGTTTCGTTGAGTTCATCATACGACAGTGGTTTGTTTGGAAGATCGTTGACAGAAAACAACTTTATAACCATGGGATTAAGGTCTTTCTTTTGTTCGTCAGATAACAGCTGTTTATCTAAGGAAACAGTCACCATCAGATCTTCAATTCCGTTCACTTTGTTGCCAAGTCGCTCCGTGATGGACTTGGTACCGGCAAACAGTAGAGACAGACGCAGTTTGATCGAAGCTATGCCATGAATGCGAGTGAATGCTGCCAAAACCGTCGACCTTTGTTCATCCTTCTTTGATTTGCGCCTAGATGTCTTGGTATCCTTTTCTATAGAGAATGGTACATTAATGGTAAGGGCCTGGTTATGTGGAGGCGACGGCAACGGCAAGATCCCGGCTATTATAAAAACTTATAGTAATCCCGCGGGACTGTCTACATGATGCAGCCGAGTAACTCGCCTTGGCAAGTTCCCGGTAGAAAGAGGTGGGATATCGCCTAGGCGAGATGAATATTTTACCACTTTGCCCCGGTATAGCTCGGCCGCCCGAGACTGAATGTATGTGCTTTGCATTTGAAATATAATAGCTCAGAAATACACAGGGAATCATTAGATAAGTTTCCCTGAGTTTCTCGGCGGCGCTTGCTCTTGTATTTTCACGACATTTTGTAATGTTTCTAACGTTTCAAACGACTTAAATCCTTTTTGTGTCTTGGCGCCATTTCGGCGTCATGCGCGGCAATCACGCAGCAAATGCCGAGTAACACGATTCCATATAAACACAGCGCTTGTTTGTCCCATTTGGGCGAGTAACTTGCCTTGCCGTGTAACTCGCCTCCATATAAACAGGACAGAAAATTTTGTAAAATGTGATTGGCTGACAAGTTGAAAGATTGAAGTTGAAAATTTTCAACTTTCAACGATGACATTTTTGGAACATTTTCTGTCCATGGAAATTTTTCTTGAGTGGAAATAGGCCTTTATGAGTGGAAATGGCCTTTTCGCTCGAAACGTCAAGTTCTCGTTGTATTTTTCAGGTAGTTGCATGCATCCCTATCAATGCAAAGCTTTCCACGTACATACTTACCTAATTCATCAACCTTAATCTTTTTCCGTTTTTCGTTTTCAAAATTAGAACGTTTTCTTGTATCAACCAATTCTGATAACCTGGCCATTTCTTCCTCAGAGAAGGGTTCGGTTAAGCCTGCAAGCTGAGCGATGCAAAGCCAATGTTGTCTGCTGCTTTCGTCCACTCGCACTTGCACTTTGGCCAGCTCACTGGTCTTGGTCACCGCCGACGGAGCGGGCGTTTGTAGGGAATTTGAGCCCTGTATAAATTGAAATTGCTGTAGGTCGTAAGGCTTGTCTTCACTATCAAAGTTTCTCTGATCACATTAGGAATTTTGCATAGGTAAATTCTAATGCCTGTATTCTAAAAGCTCACTCACACTCAAAGAGTGGAGGTTCAATCTGAGCTTCCCTTGAGTGTCAGTGCTGTTTTTGAATAGCTGGAGTGTTAGATTCGTATCTTACTATGTGACTACTCACCCTCCAGATATTCAAAACACTCAAACCTCCAGATACTCAAGGGAAGCTCAGATTGAACCTCCACTCATTGAGTGTGAGTGAGCTTTTAGAATACAGGCGTAAGTCTCGCAGGATTTGTAATAATTTTTTCAGGAAACTGACTTGGTGTTTTACGTGTTTAACATCTGAGTCACTTCCCTCAATCATTTCTTACAAATCCTGCAAAAATTATAATATACCTAATGCAAAATTCTTACTGTGATATCACAGAAACTTTGCAAGTGTAAACCATGGCTGTTAAACGGTCAGTCTAAACCGTGGTTTAATGTACCAACGCTCTTACGATACAGGAAATGGGTCGCCCGATTGAGACGTCCAGAAATATTTTTGAACTGACAGGAAAGCTAGAGCGCAGCCTACCGTCGGTGCTGTGGTTGCTCTAAATTCTTCAGCCTGAGCCAAGTGATCTTGGAGTGTTCTTCCTGTTGTACCTGAGGTAGTTCGTGCCAGACGATCGCCTGAAAATGTAGAAATTTGCGCCTTGGTCAAACGAGAACAAGAGTTGACGAGAGTACACAAGCAAAAGTTTTCAGGGTTCCCAAAAGAATTTGGCATCGAAGGCTTTTTGAAAGAAGTCGGCGGTTATGCAGTGCCGAAGGTACTTTATTTTTTTTCTGTGCCCAGAAGAATACCATTAATGGTAAATATTAAACATGGTTTTTACCAATTTACCATACGGGAAATCTATAACCAATAATGGTAGGAGTTTCTACATTGATAGTATACATGGTAAATCTTTAAAAATCATTCTGGAAACAAAATAAATTTTTCTTGTGAACATACCTCTCCTCTCTCGACTCTCTTTCGGCTGTAACTGCGCATGACTAAGCGACTGTTTAAGAACGAGTGCTTTGACATTGGAGCTGCCACCATGATTCCCAGCATCCTCTTCGTTCTCCTGCCCAGCAGGCAATCGGAATGCTTTAGGTCGATCAAACCTAGCACGCGCAGACACCTTATCCTTGGAGTCCCAGATCAGGAGCTCAAGGGAGTGCTCGAAAATGTCGAGAAGTAATTCTTTCGTTATCCACATTGATACACTAAAATTTAAAAAACCCACCAAATAGTTGGTTCTTCGCGTAGTCTATCAAGCAGGGGTAGATCTATATTACGGAGGTGCAGGGGGTGCACACCCTACCTAACGTTGTCGAGCACCACCCTAGAAAAGTCCAGCATCACCCTAAAAAACTATTATACCATACATTTTCTGCTTTTCGAATAGCGATTAGCGGAAGTTCTACTGTTAGCGTGTGTCGATTTCTTGAAATGATTTAATGGACAACTTGCATGTTAGACAAAATTTTAATCTAAGTGAAGAGAAGGGAATCAAACACAACAGTTAAAAAGAACATAATGAAATTAGTAAATTTGCAAAATTTGGTTGCGAAATGTTGTAAAATACAGAAAATATAGCCTTGCGAAGTTTGCATATTTTCAGTATATTTGTATTACGTGCGGAAATTGTTATCATTTTCGGCTCAAAAACGGTAACAATTTCCGCACGTAATACAAACATACTGAAAATACGCAAACTTCGTAAGGCTATATTTTCTGTATTTTACAACATTTCGTAACCAAATTTTGCAATTTTACTGATTTTAATAAGTTCTTTACTGGAATTTACTTTTTTTGCCTAAATAAAAAATTAGTCTAACATGCAAGTTGTCTATTGATCTGTAAGCACATGAGAAAATATTCAGAATGCTATAGTTAAATATCATGGTAATATAAACATGTAAAACATGTTGAGGTTGTTATACAGCCATATTTTCAAATATGCTGCACTTGAACAAGCAAATTTACTGCACTGTGCTACAGCAACTGTCCAGTCACGCATACGTGATAAAAAGCCGATATTAACTTTATAATTAATGAAAGGTAATGTAAAACGTAACAGAATTGTGAACATTCGGCCATCTCAAATAATACTATAGCGTTGCAGACTGCAGAGGAGAGTGGGCAATAAGGCTCCCTCATGCACCACCTGCACCCCTCTTAGCAGATGAGGCTAGATCTGCCCCTGCAGAGGTATGTGGTCTCCGAGTTCCCCATAGTTATACTATACTGTACTTTTGAGTCCAGGCTATCCATATCTTCTCTCCCTCCTTCCAAGTTTTTAACACTTTGGAATCATTTTCATTGTAAATCTTTGCCGCCACTCCATACATGACCACATCAGTTTTAACTGGCTCAAGATCATCAGGCATTAACTTATACTCCAGATGAAAATAATGTTGCGCCTTGGGCGCTTCGTAAACGGCAAGACGCTTGCCTTTCTTCGATTCAATTATTGGAGCATCACCATCAACTGTAAAATTTTAAAGCTTGTATTAAGACTTTAAATTTGTTCAGATTCTAGAGCAACTGTAAACGTTTACTGGTCAGTCATTTTGGTACAAACTTGGTCGTTTTGCTACAAACACAAAGTTGTTAGAAAACATTCAGAGCAGCTTAGACCCCCTGTGAATTTTTCACACCCTTAAATGTTGAACCGATTTCCCACCTGCTTGAACTGCACATGCTAATGTGACTGTGAATGTCACTTTGTGCTCCCCAGGCTCTCGGACAATGCTTGTTCTTGAATTTCTTGATACCATGTTGTCTCATCTGAAAAATTACATTTACATATTGACTATAAATTCCCCCTGGAAGTCAATTCTCTCTAAGAGAGTGACCTGTAACAACTGGTACAGGTCCAAACCAGGTCAGCTCTTGTGGTTACCATACAGGCCTGTCAGGCCTTATAATCAGATGCAATGCATGTTGTGTGCAAATTGCTAACTAGTACCTTGAATACACCTATTTTGCATGGATAGGAGGCTCATAACTATTACACTGTGACGTTTTTCCAATCGATAACAAAATTTGAAAAAAAATAGGCCATGGGTTGTTCCCGAAAAAATTCCGCACTCCCCTCTGCGGAGAGAAAAATTAGTTTCTGATAATAGTAAGTGCATTAGGACAATCTGAAGAGGGTGGTGGTGGTGGTGGGGGGGTTAACTTCCAAATTCCTCTGTCAGGAATACACTTTCAGGTATGGCGGCTGTTTTTATATGAAAATGTCAATATGACATTTTGCATAGCAACTTGACCACGGAGCCGGCCTGTCGTTCTTCAAAATTTTATAACAAGCTAAAGTTTGTCTTTTTGATGACATATCACATTATACATGCATGTGCATTCAGTAATTAGTTGGGTACAATAAATCACTAAAGTTATATTCGCTATGCACCTTAGCAAAAACATTGGGATTGAGCATTATTTGTTCATCATAAAATATTAAAATATATACTTTATTATGAAATAACATTCATGCGATTTGTACAATTACATAATGTACGATTTATATCGGACAAAAGGAAGCCGACAAAACAATAATATCACATAAATAACAACTGACGCACCCACTAACAAAATAACAACATTATAACATAACATATATCGTCTATTAAATCGTCTGACTATATTAAAATATAGCAAAATATTTACGATTCTTGGAATAAATACACAAACCCAAACCAAATCATTATTCTGCATTAGTAGTAATACTTACACGACGAAGTTAAGAGAAGTTGGAGAAGCTCGAACAACACAGCAATTTTTCACAAGAAACAGCCTAAGTCACTTTTGCGGCCATGTTTCTTTTTCGCGTCGTTGCTTAGCAGCCGTTAACACTGGTGATCATATGCGGGGGGGGGGGGGGCTTTTTTCCGGTACTCTTGTTTTTGTAAAACTTTTAGTTTTTACAGGAAAAGTTACTGTAAAAGGTGGAAATAAGTGCAGTGGTTGGGTGTCAAACCAGATAACTCGTTTGCTTTGTCAAAATTTTTTACAAGAATTTTATTTGCGAAAGTTTTGTCCACAAACTGACTTTGTAAACACTTCGTTCAAAGGGCGACATTTTTTACGGTGTGCAGGCAACGCCGAGGAACGAATCGGGTGCGTATTGGCGGGAAATGTTAAATGGCAAATATTCATTTTGTAAACATGGACGTGTATAATTATTGAATGGACATGTACTAGAAATTGTCTGAATTTTTGGTCGTATAAAGTTTTAAAAGTTCAAGTTGACACGATGGAAGGTAGGATGGATTAGGTTTTGATAACATTAGATGCGTTTTAGTCGTTCTTGAAGCAAATATGAAGTATGAATTAAAGAAATTTGTGCCTTTTCATATTAATTGGATTCAAATATTCAATAATACAATATGTTAGTATAAGGTTATAAACAGTATAACCCGACTATCTCGAACAGCCAATGGAAACAACATAAAGTTCTACAATTATTGTGGGGGATAACCAAATCAGTGTCAAATTATACAAAGAATGATTAAATATTAACCCATTGAGCTGCAATGCACCCCAGTGTGCCCAACTTATTTTTTTACTTGTCTAACGCCAGATGATTTTACTTGTCAATGGGGAAGCTC